CTGCGTCTCCTGCTTTGTCGCCCAGATGACAGCAGCCCAGCTGACATATTTGCCGTGGGGTTCGAAGAGATGGTGGAATTGAGTGCCGGGAACATCGTCAATGCCAGGTAAGGGGCCGGGTGCAAGGGCTGTAGGTGAGCGACGTGGAACCCACCGAGGGTTTCCCGAGCCAGGTGCAGGCCCAGGGGGCGGTCCGGCATCCGAGTCCGCTGACCTCAGCCCCCGCTGTGGAGGGCCCTCTGACTGCAGTGCTTCGCTGCTCATTACGGACATAGCGACAGGCGGGTCGTCACTGTACCTTCTCTGAGGCACTGCTGCCTCGGCCCCGTGTGCTGGGAGCTGGTGTGTGAGCCTGGAGCCGGGGCAGAGGGCGGCCTGGAGGGTGCCGGTCGCCTTTCCTGGGGGGAGGCGAGGACGCAGGAGTGTGGGGAGGAGGTACCGCTCCACCAGGTCCTCAGGAAGGACACCGCCAGGTGGCAAGTCAGCCAGACCTTCTCTTTCCTAAACTGGTGCAGCTTTATTTTTCTGAACAAGAGAAAACCAGAGTCTCTGGAGCTCTCACGAGCAAGGTCCCGTGCTGGGTTTCAGGCAGCAGGGGTGGGGTGCAGTGTGTGCTGTGATGTGTGTGACACAACCGGAACTCTACGGATCGTCCCATCCGCCGCGGGATCACGGCCCGGCACGAAGGGAATGCGGTCGGCAGGCCGTCCACCTGTAAAAGGAAGAAGCGAAGGGCTGGGGGGTCTGTGGGTGGGAGAGCCCACCTCCAGCTGACTGGACGGCATCATTCCTTCCCAGCACCACCAACAGGAAGATGTGGGGCGAGCAGCTTCAGAGAGCCATCTCCCGCTCCCATCGGTACATCCTCTTGACTTCGGCACAGCTGGTGGGCGTCTGCCTTTACATCTTCGTGCGTCCGTACCACGTCCCGTTCATCAGGTGAGAACACTGGCTTTATGAACATCTGGGGCGACGGGGGCGGGGGGTGTGGTTGTTCTTGGTGTTTCGTTCAGACTTCCTCCTCCTCCCCACCTCCTGCGACAGGAATCAGGACCTGCCATTATTCTAGATAAATGGAACAAAACCCCCAAGGAGAAACGAGGCTGAATAGAATATTGTCTAGCAATTTAAAAGCCACAATGGGAACCTTCTAGTCTCAGGAAGCCGAACTCTTTCAGAGGGAGTGTTACACGCCCCTCGTCACCCAAGTTCAGCTTCGCACAAGGAAAAGGATGCCTCGCTGAGGTTTAGACAGGAAATCTCTGACCCAGAGCCCAGTAACCCTTTAGGAAATGCCAATTCTTCTGCCTCTCTTAAAAAGAATTCTAAGTAATGTGTGGGCAGAACGCCTCGACCATCGTCACTCCGTCATCATGTCTCTAAAGTGACAGCTTTACGAACGTCAGGAAGGGAAAACCGTAGGAGATGGTCGTTGTTTTAGTAAAGGGTGTGCATGCATGTGAGCGGGTGTGTGTGTGTGTGTGCATTTGTGCATAGGTGTCTAATGTGGGAGGAACTCACCTTTCCCCTCACCTGTCTCATAGCCTCACATTGCTACTTGGTATTATTCGTGTCACTAGAATTTTCTCCTGTCTTCCTCACTGCCGAGACCAGCGCTGTCTTTCTTGAGAAGGGTCATGCCTCATTGGGCATCCACGCACCTTTAGAGGCCCACAGGTGTGCCCGTGGCAGCACTTGGAGAGCAAGATGCTCTGTTCATAATCCTGTTCTGTACTTTGAGAAGATGTTTAAGTCTCCTTGATTGTGTCCCCCTGACTGTGGTGTTCTGGCAGTTTGGCAGTGTCAAAGTGAGTGGGTAAAGGCCAGTGAAGGGGAGGGGGAGGGAAGGTCAGAGTAAAGGTTAGAAGTGATGCTAGGTGCTCCGCATTTCCAAGATGCTGCCTGAGGTCCTGGACGCCCGTGACCTCGGCCTCAAGCTTGGTCAGCTCACACACCTGTTGGCTAGTTCTTCCCTTCCCTTGTCTGCTGGGCGATGGTCCCAGGGAGCAGGTGTAGGCGTCCGTCTGTGCTTTAGTCCATCTCTCTGCGCACCCGTGCACTCACGCGCATGCGTCATAAGCTGGAGTTTTAATGAGAGCGGGAGTCTGCATTGCATTATTGCGTCCCGGGGTGTAGAGAGGAGACAGGAACGTGGATGGGTTCGTTTTCACATTGCACACGTATCCTGGGCTTCTTTACAACAGCCGATGTGTAGAAACAACCTCAGTGTCTGCGGTTGTTGTATATAATGCGCTATTACTCGGCCATAAGAGAGATGAAATATTGCCATTGGCAACAACATGGATATCTTGAGGGTATTATGCGGAGTGAAATAAGTCAGGTGGAAAAGGACAAAAACCATACGTTTCACTCCTGTGGAATAAAAAATGCAGAGGAGGCGAAGGAAGAAAACAAAACCAGAATAAACTCACAGATTCAGACAACAGAATGGTGGTCACGAGAAGGGAAGGGGGTGGAGATGGGCTGAATGTGGGGAAAGGGGGTTAATTGTATGGCGATGGATGGAAACTAGACTTTTGATGGCGAGCATGCAGCAGAGGATACAGGTACCGAATTATGGTATCGTACGCCGGAAACGTCTATGATGTCATTAGCCAATGTTATCTTAATGAAAATAATTTTAAAAAGAAAAGACAAATTGGCTATGCCCGGGAGGGCAGTGTCTCCCCAGCCAGAAAGGTTTCTTAAGATGACTAAAATTTTCGTAATATACACGGAAAATAAAAATATGCATACAATGCCAGCTGTCACTGCGTTTCCCAGGCCCCTGTGCCTTGTGGCCTCGAGTGGCGGCCCACTCTTGTCCTCTCTTAGTTCGGACTCTTCCCGAGCTGAGAGGAGGGGAGCGATGGAGAGGACTCAGAGTCCGCGTGCTCTTCTGCGAGTGTCCATTTCTTCGAACGCGAACTCACACCAGAAACTCTTTCTCACCCCGAGTGGGTTTTCGGTCCCCCTGCCAGGTGTCTTTTTCCCAAGGAGTCTCCAGTGAGAGCAGTGTCCTGTTCCTCTCTTGGCCGCAGGACCCTGTAGAAGTAGAGCCCACCATGTGCTCTTGGGGGCAGGACTGTCACGATTCTGTCAATAACTAGAGGTTTCTTTTTTTAAAAAAGTGAGATATAATTGACAGTTTCAGATATACGGCACAATGATTTGATACATGTATGTGTTGGGACGTGATCACCTCAATAAGTCTAGTGAGCATCCATCACCATACATAGTTACAAAATGTTTTCTTATGAGAACATTTAAGATCTACTCTCTTAGCACCTTTTAAATATACGATACAGTATCGTTAACTATTAGAGTCGCCATGCTGTGCATCACGTCCTTGGGGCTTATTTATTTCGCTACTGGAAGCCTGTACCTTTTGACCCCCTTGCTTCTCCAACCCTTGCTTAAATTCCCCGAGTCCCCTGTGACCTGATGTCACAGCCTCTGTGGCTCTGGTTAGGGGAAGGGCACCGAGGGGGATTACCTGC